GAGAAGTAGAAGTTGAAATTTGGTTTGCAGAAGATTCTTGAAAATGTGGATATGATATTGATGTTGATTGTGGTTCCAAACAAAATATTGTTTGAAGTGATTGAGCAGGTAATGATTGATGATCATCTGGATGATTATTCTCGATAATATGTATTACAGGATCAGTTAGAATTTTTTGATAATGAGCATGATGTTGATAATGACCAGCCCCAACTAAAATATAAGACAAAATAACAAATAAATATTAGAAATATTTATACGTATGTTAACTTACGTAATAAATTACTGTTTGCATTTATTGCCATTCTTTGTTTTTATTAATTTCTGATAATTACTATGGAAAATTTTGTTTCTTATTCAAATGAATATTATAAAGGATATGGTTAAAGCTAATATTATGAGAGAATTCAGTTAGTATATCACTAGGTTTCTGGTTGGAGATATTCAGAACCAATGTTTGTATAGGCCTCGGTGATCGAGACTGGGGCCAAAGTCTGGAAGCTTGCCAGAGCTGGGATGGGAGCTACGAAAAAAATTTTGTCCTAACCGAAGCTAAAGATTATAGTTAAATATTGTAACGTGTTAAGTGAATTATCTTATAAATCATCAATTAGAACACAAGTCATAGGAAATACCTTTAAAAAGTGCTAATCGCCGCAAAAATGAGTATTAAACAATTTTTTTTAGATATGATATGAATTCATTCTGAAATAGTTTTCTCTAAACTGAGATCGAGACCGGAACTAAAAAAACTTGATCTCGCACACATCTCTATTTCCGTAGTTGTCATTCAATTGTGAGAGCACTAAAAAAAGGCACATATAAGACTGATTCATTAGATTCTAGCATAAAAAAATCTTTTTTTCTTGCTTTTAAATAAATGAAAAATTCTTTTCTTAAAAATGAATTATTATCCACAGACAATACTTACATGTTATTAAAATATGAATCTATTGATCATACAATCACATATGACTTTATAATTCCATTGTTGACATTGTCATCTGTAAATATTTTTTTAGTTATGAAAATACCAATCTATGTGTTGTTCTTATTCTGTTGATGGATTGACACTTTCGATGGACAATGATTCTTTATATATAGAAAGATGTTTTCAAGTCTTTCTGATTTTTTCCTAGAACAATTGTGCAGTTTATAACTATTTATAGGATCAACAATACAATGCTGTATATAATGAATTAGTGAAAGAAATAACAGTAATATGTAACATATCGTCCTAAATGTTGTTAATAGGATTCCATCAAGAATTCCCCAATACGCCAGAACGGTGATAATAAGGTTCTACATAATGACAATACCATAAGAGGATAAAAAAATAGATATATAATCTGTATATTTCTTATGAGTCTGTTATTGGTACATATCATCTTTCATAGAGTATTTTTGATTCTACTTAGTTATATGCAAAGATAAATACGAATTTGTAGGCATATTGACATTATTGATAAATATCTATTGTTTTTGCTCTATTATATCAAAATATTTCTGAAAACTTTGTTACTTTTCTTTAAATCTGAGAAATTTTTAGAAAGATTTTCTATCAAGATCTGTGTATCTATAAATTATTATGGGTCAATGAATAAAGATAAAATATTGTAGAAATACCATCAAAATATACTTTTTTTTCTGGATGAACTAATTTGTTTCTATGTGTTTGTTCTAATTGTTAGATTAATATTTGGACTAAGGAATATTTTCCTCATTCTTTCACTGCTAATTTTTCCTCATCAATTCGCTTCGTTCATCATTGTTATTATCCTTATTAGCTTGAGAATTATTCGCAGAAGATCAAATGTAAGAAGATTTTTCTCTGTTACATGCATTATGCTCTTTGCTCTTTTTATAATTCTTTCCCAATACGGTCAATAAGTCAAATAATTAAAAACTTTTTAAAATTTTCTAATCAAATTTTAAAACAATTTGTAAGACGATCACTAATTATTTCAATGATAAATATAAAATTTCATCTATATGAAATTCTTCAAAGATACTCTTCTGATCAACGTGCCTATATTGTATCTATTCGTATATCTTCAAAGATCATTCATTTGTTTACAACAAAAATTACTCATAAAAGTTAGATATTAATAAATTCTGAGAACAATTATGTACTTAACGCTTGAAAAATAGGAATTTCATGCATTGAGTACATCTATCAAAATTGGACGATAGATAATTGATGGCTTTGAAAATTAGCGGAAAAATTTCATAATATTATGATAATAGCTTGTGTCTGTGAAAGGCTTGATTAGAAAAGCATATGCTAAACGGATGCATAAGAAATAATAGGGAGAAGCTACTCAGCAATCTTGAGATGATTACAAATAGGCATTGTTTTGTTGTTATATGTAATTATATCGTTAAAGCCTTAAGTATCTTTTTTTTTATTAAACTTGTCATACCAAAGAACTCGCATGAAGTTGTAAATCATCAGTTATCAAAAAGGTGTTAAACCTATCAAAGAATATTTTAACTATAGTATACGTCTGCGTCATTTGATTACACATTCACAACTATATAGTATCTTACATATATTCTCATTCTTGTTATAATTCAATTTATTTTAATAAAAAAAATAAAAATTATTCTTTATTGTTTTTAGCTAAAAATAGTTGTTTCAATTTTTTGTAGAATACTCATCCGATAATATTTATTTTGTTCTATATCATTCTAATCTCTTGTAATAACTTATATAACTCTGATGAAAAAAAAACTTGAACACTTTAGAACGATTTTCTGAAATTTTATATGTTATATGAGTTAAAATTTAGATATATGAGTCACTCCATATTAGTTACAGCCAATATTTCTCGATTGAACATATGTTGTAGAACGAAAAATCTATGCTTTTTGATACAAGCTTGTTACAAAAATATTCAATAATTCTTACTTTATTCAATTGTTATGAAAATTCTCAGAAATACAGATTCTCATTTTACAGAGTTTCGCAGATTCCATACTTTGTAGAACAGTTAAAATGACCGAACTGGAATTTTTTGAATGTAGTCACTATTTAGTTCTTTGCAAAAAATACACTTCATCAACTCGAGCGGTTTAGTCATTGATATGATATACATCTCACTGATACAGGTGTAAATCGTAATTCTCAGAACCTTGGTGATTAACATGAAAACTGACTTTTTGACCAAAATTTAAATTTTCTGTACTGACTACGCCCTATAAAACATGGCCATTTCTCAGTTGCTGTTGTGATAATAGAAGACTCATCAGTAGTGTAGAACCTTCTTAAAACAAAATTAATGTGAATTTTTGCAGAAACGGCTGACTACAGGGTCCATATTTAAGAGTTTTGATAATGTATCTAACTGAATCTCAGTCCTCTGTCGGTCTTTACTCGTGACGTAAAATCCATGAAATACTAAGGAGTCAACTAGTCGAGCTAATTTTTTTCTTGTGAATAGAATTCATCATAGTATACAGCATATAAAAAAATTTTAGCTAAATGAGTCGAGCCATTCTTGAAACACAAAGTCTCCATGTTTAGAGCTTTTTGTAAAAAAAAGTCATACAAAAAAAATCAAACATTCAATATTTTTCAAAACATTTTGCGATTAGATTCATAACCTTGTTCTCTCTACAACATATCTTAATCTGAGCTAAATCTAATAAATTTCGTTCAGCACGTCGTCTAGGTGTTAGCAGTCACTTGCACAGATTGACTTCTATGTATACAGGCTTCCTTTGTGCAGAATTGATATATAAATAGCTGTAAAACATTATAAAAACTAATCAATCAAATCAACTCAGACTTGTATACCTCTCAGCATTGATTGTGATTGCCAAAATAGTTAGCTTTGTTCATAAGCAAAAATATTTTTTTACAATAATTTCCAGTTTGAGTCTTGTTTGAAATTAGCACATCGCATTTTAAAGATCGATTTGATCAATAATAGGATGGATGTGAAAGAAGAGAAGGCTCACATGTACATTGTCTTACTTCATTGGACAATGGTTGATTTCATATTTTCAAACAATGTATTATCGCGGAATACTGGTAATAACTGGTCAGTGTAAAAGGTGAACTCGTTCACTAAACAATCAGTTTACCTAGTAGCGCTATCATATTTTTCTTTCTTCTGGTGATAGGGTGTGACGCACAATTTAGCCCATACTACTACGATAATCATCAGTTAATCGGTTGTTTTCTCGCAACTTAAGTTACGAATGATTCAAACCAACGCCGATGTATCATATAAAAACGGAAGATGCTGCCCTCTATGTTAGATATTGTTCGCTTCAAAGTGTATCTGTGAAGCGAATCAAAATTTATATTCACGATTGTTTTTTTTTTGTTTATTTATTCATCTCTCGTCTTATTTCTTTTCAATTGTTTCAAGTTTTCTTAAATGTATTTCAAGAGACCATGTTCGTTCCTAAATGGATATTTATTATCAAAAAGTCAAAATAAAAAATGAAATAAAATGAAGAATTATAAATTAATTTTGCGCCGTACGTGATAAATATTTGTGACATATCATCACTCAAAGTAATGAACAAATGCAATCATAATGAAAACATTGAAGTAACGTATCTTTGCTTTTTAAATTGAAAAGAAGAAATTTCTTTTTTTTTCTGTTTCTTCTTAATTTTCATCTTGTTTTATACGGAATAATTTGATAAACAATAAAAAAAAGAGTTTTGAGTTTTGTCTTTTACATATGTCATATCTTTTCAACATTTATAGGATGTATAATGGGTAAGTACATCTGCTTATTTTTCTCAATTGTTTGTTTTTCTTTATTGGAAACGTTTTAATAATTTTTTTCTCATCTTTTTTCTAGGTTGGTCGTTATCAACATAGAAATGTCGATATGATTAAATATGTCTTTTCTTTGTTAGTTTTCTTTTTACTCTTGAAATTCGTTCTCATTTTTTTTTGTTTTTATTTTCTTCAAACTAGCATGGAACAAATAAGTTCATTTTAATTTTGTTTAGATTTCGTGTTGTATTACAACGCGATGAGTCGATCACGTAGTCCTTCGAGTAAAAAACATAAACGACGAAAATCATCACATGATCGAAATAGATCAAAAGATCGTTCGATAACTAGTTCTTCAAAACGACATAGATCACGTTCACATGATCGAGATAAAGAAAAAAAATCTAAACGGTAAAACATCATTTACGTGTATAAAATGTGCCCTATAGTAATTCAACAAAATTTATGTTCAATTTTTTTTCTGCTGCGATAAACATTCTAAAGAATTTGAATGGATAAAATTGTTTTCATAAGGGATAAAAGTTATTATCGAGTTCTCAAACATAAAGGCTTCAGCAAACCAAACGACTAACTTCTCAGCACATCGAACAGATAAATATATTTTTATTCAGACAACATAGAACGATAGAGTAAATAGTAATCTAAAACATGAGTTGTCTTCAAGTTCTGTGCGATGTTTTTTAGTTGAGATGCAGCAATCATATGGTAGTCCCTAAAGTCGTTCTTTTCCATTTTATTATAGAAAAACCATTTTTTGATCATCAATCAAATTACTATAGCTCGGCCAAAAAACGTCATAGAGAACTCGGAGACACCTCATTTTGTAGAGGATGATTTACTCTATTGTTCTATGTAGTCTAAATAAAACTATACTTATTCGTTTTGGATGTTGAAAAATTAATTTTTTAGTTTCTGGATTCTTTGTCTCTACAGACTTGATCATAATTCTTATCACGCTATATCTCTTTTGGAAATAATTTTCTCTATTCAAATTCTTTTTAACGCTTACGGCAGTGGAAAAATAATTGAAAATAAACCTTGTTAAATAACTTTAGTACTCTCTGTATAATAAATATTCTTCTTATATTACATATAGATTTCATCGTCGTTCGACAAGTGAATCATCAAATGATGATCGTGAAGATTCGTTATCAACAACGAATATTAGTCGAAAAACTACTCTAAACGAATTAACTGATTTAGCATCTCGTAAACAAGCTGAAATTGATCGACTAGCTGAATTAGAACGAGAACGTATACAACTATTGTAAATATAAATTAGTATTGATGTGTTTGTATTTTTTAATGTAATTCTTTTCTAAATAGACGTCAAAAAGAAACTCGTGAAAATTTAATTCAAGCTGAAGTTGATCGACGTGTAAAAGATATTGTTGAAATACGTGTACGTGAAGAACTTGAACGTCGTAAAGATGAAATTGAAAATGAAGTTAAACGACGTGTTGATGTATTAAAACGAACAATGGAAAAACAAATGTTAATTGAAATTGAAAAACGTAATCATGAAGAAATGAGAAAATTAATTGCAAAAGAAGTATTCATATAATAGATTTTATATGATTATTCGAATTTATTCTATTATCTTTTATAGGAAGAAGAAAGAAAAAAACGAGAAGATTTAGAACGAATTCTGACTGAAAATGAACGTAAATTAACTGAAACTAAAAAACGACTTGTAAATTATTAGACTACAATTTTAAAAAAATGCTTCTGACAATATTTATTATTTTTTAGGCTGATGAAGAAGAAAAATTACGTACCGAGCAGTTACGTTTAATGGAAGATCGAGAACGATTCGAACGACAATTAGGCAAACAACATGCAAAAGAACAAAATCTTATTTTAGGCAAAAATAAAACACGACAAAAAATTTCTTTTACATTAAATAGTGTTCAGTAAATTAATCATCTATTGTTTTCATTGATATAAATATATCATTTTTTTTTCTCTTTGTGTATTACATAAAATGTTGTTTGAATTTATTCCTTATTTTTTTTTTTTCTTTTCAGATATTTTTCTTTTTTTTTTCGAACATATAAAATAATCATGTCCAATGATGAAAAAATTTCTGCAAATATTTTATCAAATGGTGAAAATACGGAAGGACAAGAAGAACCTCAAACACCTATTGAAACAATTGTTATTGATCCGGACGCAACAATTGTTGAATTAACTGCATGTCGTCTTCGATCAATTGAAGGATTTGATGGTTTAACTAAAGTTGAAACATTGAATATGCGTCAAAATTTAATAAATAAAATTGAAAATATTTCACAATTAACAACACTTAAACATATCGATTTATATGATAATCATATCACACGAATTGAAGGTGTAGATTCATTGGTTCAATTAAAACATGTTGATTTATCATTTAGTATGTAAAACAAACATCACAAACGGGTGATGTAAAAGTTCTTCATTATTTTTGTTTTCTTTTGGTTAGTGTGACAACAACTTGGTGTCGAAACTCGATAGTTTATTATTAGAAAGAGCAACGTTTCATTCTATATACTTACTGAAGACTAAAAGTTCTCTGTACGCTCATAGAGTTTAGAAGAAAATGTTCATACACTAAGAAACTTTGTCTTTTAGCAGATTTTGCAGCGCTATGATAGACCTTGCACAAAGATAAAAAATTATGTTCAAAGGTATCGAGTGAGTCGAAATCGATATTTTTAAAACGACCTTTGCTAACAAAAAGTGTTTCCACAACCAATAAGTGATTTTGAAAAATAAAACTTTTCCAGCAATCGAGTTTAGTTAACTTTACAGCACATCAGGTCCAAACTCATTTGATTGAAATAATCTAACCGAAACTTTAGTCCTCCAGAAGACATGAGATCTTTTTCCGATTTTTTTGTATTCCGTGATTAGCGCACTCTATAAATTCTTCAGACGGCTAGAGCCCATTCAGCCGAACATTTGAAGATTCGGATCCGAGCGAATTCGAAACTAACCTGACAGACTCTGATAAGCCTTCTAGAAAAGCATATTATATAAAACAGAGTACAATTTTTCTATTCGACAGTGTGAGAAAAATTTGATTTGGCGTTGTTGAGGGAACATAAGGTTTTTAATAAAACTGTTTTCAATACAAAGTCTATGGTTTTGTAACTCAAATATTTTGATACTACCAGAAAGACCATAGCACATTAGTTCCGTGTACACGTAACATGCCTATAAGTTTTTAAAGTTTAACACAAGACAAATCGGTAAAATATATTTTTTATCACTGATTTTGTGTGAAGTTACAAGACACTTTTCTGCTTTTGATAAGTATTTTGAAGAAAACACTGCTCTTTTTAACAAGAAAACGATCAAGCTTCCGAGACGATTTCTTGTCACACTATATTGAAAACAAAAATTAACGCATAACTTATGCAACAATTGATTTTATTTCCTATTTTTTTTTTCTTAGACAAAATTTCCGTTATTGAAAATTTATCTACATTAATTAATGTCGAAGCTCTTTATATGGTTCACAATCAATTACGAACAGTTGAAAATCTTTCGACATTGGTTAATTTACGTGTACTTGAATTAGGTGATAATCGAATTAAAGTTAGTTTATTTTATATAAAAGAAAATTGAAATATTAATTTTTTGATTTGTTTTAGAAAATTGAAAATTTAGAAACACTTGTTCTACTTGAAGAATTACATTTTGGTAAAAATAAAATAGAAAAAATTGAAAATTTACAAACACTTACACGATTACGCATACTTGGTTTGGGTGCTAATCGAATCTCAAAAATTGAAGGATTAGAAAAATTAACTGAACTAAAAGAACTTTATTTATCTGAAAATCGTATAAAAGTCATTGAAAATCTTGATGCAAATATTAATTTAAATGTACTTGATTTATCAAAAAATCAAATTGAACATCTTGATAATCTTCAAACGCTTCATAATCTCAAAGAATTATGGTTTAATAATAATCAAATAAAAAATGCTGATGAATTAAATAAACTTGTGTCAATGGAAACATTACAATGCATTTATGTTCACGACAATCCAGCATTTGATCGTGAAGAAAATTATCGAGCAAAAGTTTTATTACAACTCAAACAATTAACACAATTGAATGCAACAGAAACACGACGAGCTGCACCAATGACATTAGATTAATGAATTTTGTTTTTTAAAACTTACGGTCTACGTTTTGCTTTGTCTGTTTTATTGTAACAATCTATATTATCGTTTAAAACGTCTATTATGCGAGTAACAGATTTTATAAATATAAGAAATAACAAAGTGGAAAATGATGATTGACAGAGTCCAATCATTGTCAAGACTTTTTTTTATACAATGATCACTTGTCGCCAACTGTTGCCCGTTTTTTATTTGTACTACATGCGTATTTCTCTTATATTTTTCGTGAAAAATTATTATCTACATTAGGTTACACCCTCTTCACTGCTTTTTCTGCGTCCTGCTGACGCCTAAATTAACAAAAAAAATGAAATAAATATCTGTGTTTGTTTTAGAAAGATGTTATTGTCTCGTCGACGATTTTATATCACCATTCATACATAAAATATTACTACTACCTATTTACACTACTAACGAATAACATGGGTACTTTATATGAGGTTTGTTAAAAGTCTTAAAAACAAGAGGAGTTCTTGAATTACGCTTTTCTTTTTCTTTTTCTTTTCGATATTAGAACAATAACGTGCCGATCAATGATGGCGAAAAGTATGATCGGCCAGCTAAATATTTGCCGACAGACGTTTGTTTTTTTCTTTATTCAAATGTTATGAAATATGAATATTTTTTTTATTTTTTAGAATGAAAATCATTCTTCGAAAACATCACTAATCTTTTCACTTCATGAAGAAGTGGGTGCTTTAGCTAAAGCATTGCATGTATTTGAAGTAAGATATTAGAATTTGATTTGATACTTTTATCTTATCCAGCAATATAAATAACCTATTTAGTTATTTCTTTCTTCAATTGTTGAAATCAGGTTTGAACTATAAATCATATTGCTCTTCTCTACTTATAACTAATTCGATTAACAAGAATAAATATAAGCAGACATAAAATTACTTATACGGATCAGTTTGGTAATACTTGATGATTGCTTTTTTCGTTTGATTCAATGTTTTTTAACCAAAAACAGAAAAAAGTGTCATTGTTTAGTCTATGATATTATTTTAGAAACATGGTATCAGTTTACTTCATATTGAATCACGATTATCTCGTCAAAATAAGGCTGATCATGAATTTTATGTTGAATGTGATAATACTATGGGTTCTGTAACTGATGCTATTAAAGAATTACGTGAAGAATCGAAATATCTTCATGTACTTTCACAAGATCATAAAACATTAGATGAATCAAGTTCGTTAATATTTATCTTTGTTATTCAAAAATGAACATTTCTATATATTTGCTCTTAGCACCTTGGTTTCCACGAAAAATGCGTGATCTTGATCAATTTGCAAATCGTGTTCTTTCATATGGAGCTGAACTTGATTCTGATCATCCTGGTTTTCGTGATGTACTCTATCGAAAACGTCGAAAAGAATTTGCTGATATTGCTAATCAATATCGTCATGGTCAACCAATACCACGTGTTACTTATAATGAACAAGAAACTGCAACATGGGCAACTGTTTTTCGTGAATTAACACAACTTTATCCAACACATGCATGTAAAGAATTTAATAATGTATTTCCATTACTTATTGATAATTGTGGTTATAATGAAACAAATGTTCCACAATTAGAAGATGTTTCGCAATTTCTTCAAGATTGTTCTGGTTTTCGACTTCGACCAGTTGCTGGTTTGTTAAAATTTTTATTTCATTCATTTTACTTTTTATTTGATATTAATTTGTTTGTTAAGGTCTTTTATCATCACGTGATTTTCTGGCTGGTTTAGCTTTTCGTGTATTTCATTCAACACAATACATTCGACATCATAGTGTACCTATGTATACACCTGAACCTGATGTTTGCCATGAATTACTTGGTCATGTACCACTTTTTGCTGATCCAGATTTTGCTGAATTTAGTCAAGAAATTGGCATGGCTAGTTTAGGCGCACCAGATGAATATATTACTCGTTTAGGTATAAACTTATTTCAGTAGTTTTTCCCTATATTTATTATTGTGAAACACGATTTAAAAGAAGGGTAGAAGTATATCAGTAAACATTTGCCTCCTGCCACAGATAGCAATGTACACTAATCAGAAACCGTTACAGACTGTGATAGACATTAGTTCAAGATAGAGCCTATCGGGCCCAATATTTTCGAACTCTTATCATAGACGAACTATTCAGCTATTGCATTTCAAGAGGATAAAGTAAAATGATGATGAAAAAATAAGTCCTAAAATAGATAAAATAAAATGATCCTTCTGTGATTAGTCAGAGTAGTCACATTGTGTTTCATATTTTAATCCTGCAAGAATTGCGCTAAAACTTTTACATTTTAATAGCAACATTGTATTGGTTTACTGTTGAATTTGGTCTTTGTATGGAGAACAATGAACGAAAAGCTTATGGAGCTGGACTTTTATCATCTTTTGGTGAATTACGAGTAAAGATTGTTTTTTGTTTTTATTGTTCGAAAACTATTTCCAATATTTTATTTTTGTTAAGTATTGTTTAACGGATACACCAACAGTAGTATCATTTGATCCATTTCGTACTGCTGTTCAACCTTATCCTATTACAAACTATCAACCAACTTATTTCTTAGCTGAAAGTTTTAAGGATGCCAAAGAAAAATTACGGTATGAGTATTTTATTAAAAAATAATTTTGAAATATTTGATGTTTTCTTATAGTCAATATGCAATGACTATTCCAAGACCATTTACCGTTCGTTATAATCCATATACACAAACTATGGAAGTAGTTAATGGTAATGAACAAATTGTCAATATGGTTCGAACATTAAGAAGTAAGAAAATGAATATAAAGTTCTTTCTTATTAATCTTTCATTTTCGGGCCGTTTTTTTCTTTAAAGATGATATGGATATTATTATTGATGCACTTCGCAAGACGGGAGTAACATTAAGCTAACTAATATAATCTTTTTCTCTACAATAATTAATGTCTTTTGTGTGTCTTTTTTATATTTGTTTTGGTGATAGATTATGTTTAACAAATGGAATGGGTTTATATATTATTTTATTTTAGATTTTTTTTTATAAAAAAAAAATACTAGTTACTATCAATGAGCATCATGCTATCATTGAACATGGAACAATAAAACAAGAGGTGTATGTTAAAAATAAAATAAAATAAAAATAATATTTAATTATAGATATACAATTTAGATTCATAAAGAAAAATGCATTTTTATCTTTGCGCATTTTGTATTCTTTTTTTAATGAAAATATTTTCTTAATCTTTCTTTTTGTCTTATTTTGATTGTATATAATTTGATTTAATTATTGTTATCATGGATAAAGTACAACGGTTTTTTAATCCCACTGAAGATGAACCAAAAGAACAAAATTCTATGATGTCTGAGGTGAGAGAGCAATCGATTGAAGATATCATATCAATGAAATGATTTATTTGCTTAGCCTTATTGTTGACCTATTCTTCTAGGCTAAATACAGGACAAATCTAATTATTTTTCTATTTACTCTTTATATAATCATTGAGTTTCTTGAGAAAATTGCTAACTTGTTTCATGCACTTGTTTGATATGGCTATTTCATGATTATCATCATTTTCGTTTGAATTCAGAAAATAATTATTTAAGGCATTTAGTAATAGGTTGGAAATGAAAACATGTTTGTCTGTGTTGTTGTATTGTTTACTAGACTGTAAAATAAGTCTATATACACTGTTCACATGCCGGTGTTGGTCGCGAATAATGATTATAATCGAATAAAAATCATTTTTTAAATCGAACATGCGAGAAAACATAATAAGTTGAAGAAGGGTTGTTCTATTTTTTAAAAATTTACTCTAACTCTTGTTTAATAGTTTTTGTCTACTCGAAAATGACTTTTAGAGATTACGATTGACATACATATGCATTGACGATTATTGATTAAATATTTTACTGTGTCGTTTACCAGACAATATGAGAACTGCGATGAAAATGTTTTCATCTACAATCTATTGCCAAAGGCATTAAATAAACATACAAGACTTTAAATGAAATCAATAATGATCGTGAAATAGTCATGACGAAAAAACTTTCAGTTTCAAATACATATTAGTGTATTAAACAAATTTGTAGTTATCTCAAGAAATCCGATGATTGTATAAAGAATAAATTTAAAAAAACCTTGGTGTGTCTTGTATTTCGTCTAGGGGGGTATAGATTTATTTGCTTATATAAATTTATTATAAATGTATTCGTTTTTTAAGATATCTGGCTTGTCATGGGATACACGAATAAAAGGTTTTGGTATCTGTTTGCTTATTGCTGTGTTACTTGGTGTTGGTGTAAGTTATTATTAGTAGTAAAAACAAAATAAATTTTGTTACTTTGAAATGTTTGAATATCATTTTGGAAAGAATTCTATAAGATGATAAATGACTGTTTATCGGTTTTCAATTTAACAAGATTTTATCATTAACATTTGAGTTTTGTTTTCCTAACAAATATTGTTATGATACGTATGTAAAAGCAATAGAGTAGCCAGGAATTTTTGAGTCATAGACAATGTTCCAGTCAAACTATTTTAAGATATATGCGCAGCTGTCATCACCTTAGATAAAGTCTGTTAGTAATTACTATTGTACCATTGAGTAATTATCATCAGCATAAGAAATTCATGAAAAAAAACTGATTGATCAGTAAGCGGTTGCTCAATGGTCCATGACTGGCTATGTTACTGAGTAAAAGGTTATAAAGATATTTTTATTATTATGATTCAATATAACTGATTCTTATTCTTATGTGAGAATAGAGGTAAACCGGAATTTCGACAATGTTTTTCTATTGTGGAAATTCTCGGAGAAGTAAGATAAAAGTGTCAAAATTTCACACAACCGAAAACATTCTATATTGATAATTTTGTTTTTGTATTTTTTCGATCATTCATTGCTTCATAATGATAATACGAATTTTTGATGCATTCTAGGCGGTGATTATATATTTTCTTGGTGGTAATCTTTCTGGCTTTGCTGTTCTGTATACCTTTGCGGTTATTTTTGGTGTTGGATCGTAAGTTTATAAGCAATATTTGTTATAACGTTCAAATGCGATTTATAGTACAATATTCTTGATGGGTCCACTGAATCAATTAAAGAAAATGTTTGATGCTACTCGTTGGATTGCCACTCTTGTTTTTCTTGTAAGTTAACTTTTTCTTTAAAAGTACCTTATGGAATATCTTAATTTTACAGGCATCTATTATAATGACACTTGTGTCTGCTCTTGCAGTAAGTCAAGTTAAAATAAAAGAAAAAGTAATCAATAATTTTATTTGTATACTTAGATAAAAAGCGGTGTTCTTGTTCTTATATTTATTATTGTTCAATTTCTTGCTCTTGTAAGTTAAAACTAGAAAGAACATATTTTCAAGAATTTTTAGAACTAAAATGAGTGTTGAAGTTTATAGAGGCTCGTTAGAATATTTTAACTACTTTCTTAATGCATTTCAGAAGGATTAACTAAAAGAAGAATGAAGAAATATATCCCAAAATCAATAGGATAAAACAATCTTCTTATGATTAGCGATAGCAGCTATATCATGTTTCACATTTTAAACTCACAAGAATTGTGCTAATAGTTTTAATATTCTTTTCTAGGCCTGGTATACCATTAGTTACATTCCATTTGCACGGTAAGATTATTTCAATGTATATTGATGAAACTATTTATTTATTTTTTTCTTAATTCAGAAATGCTATCAAAAGTTGTTGTGGAGGCATTATTGGTGTATGAAAAAGAAAATTGATTCTTTTTCTTTTTGTGCTTAAAATTTTTTCTTGTGAATATTTGATGAATGATTGTGAAAAAAGCCACGTATATTGTGTTCTTTCATTTTATTTTATATGATATTATTGATCCAACGTTAGAGAATGATTTTTTTTCTCATGTGATTATTATTATTCTTAATGAAAAAAGAAACAAAGAAATTATCATTCTATTTTGATTTATACAGAAAAAAAAATTGATCTATGTTGTCTTGTTAATTATTATGGTCTATTTATTTCTAGAGATTGCTTATTTTATTAGAAGATTGGAGGAACATATAAATATTGTTTTTGATGAGAAATAGTTTGAATGGACATGTCCTTTACTGGAATAAAAAAGAGTCCACTTGTATCTTTACCATTTCTCAAAGTGAGCTTATAATATAAGATATATAATGAATATTTCACTATTTTGTAATAGAAACGATTACGATCTATAACTGCATTAGGTCTTCGGAATTTAACAGTGAAGGAATTTAATTTTACAGTTCACTTTACATTACATCGAAATGAAAAAACCGTTGGTAAATAAAATAAAATATGTTTGATAAAAATAATGTAGAATATTTTTTTTCTATACTTTTATAGCTTTTTATACAAGTGAATCAGTAGAAAATCAACGTGTAAGTTGTATAATAAAATTGATGTTTTTAGTTTTTACAGACTATTTTGTTTTTATTTTAGAGTCCAGAATGGTCTTATTTAAAATTGCCAACAAGTATCCAATGTTTACAAGGTAAGATTATTCGTTCAGAGTATATAAATAGACGATAAATTATGTACAAAAAATTTTTCTGTAAAACAAAAAACTTGTTTCTAATTCTTTCAAATATTATTTTTATGAAACATTTTTCTACTAATGAGTGAACGTTCTCAAATGTTCAATCGCTTTTCATTTGAGACGATAGTCATTCAATCGATCACGATGAATAGTAAAAGAGTCTGTTTTACTCGGTTTTTACTCTATGAGCGTAGAATAGCTGAGAAACTTAATGATCGAATTTCGAACTGAAAATTTGTTCATAAATAGGTCTTATAGTCAATAGAAATACTTTACAGTTTGAGCTACGATAAACATCTCCGTACTGAGGTATGAGCTTGTCATAGAAACATTCTTCTATTGAAACACAGCCTAAAACAAGCATTACAAAAATGTCTTAACAGAAATACATGTCTTCTGACTCCAACTTTAAGGTGTTGCTGGTGAGTTCAAGAGCTATTGTTAGACAAAGTTCAACCTTCAGTTCAATCATCCCGATTCGTAGAGATCCTATGCTCGTAGGGGCAGAAATCGAGTTAAGTCCTGGACATATTAGAAGACCTATGGTCATCTGTTTAGCCTCTCACAAAAAGAAAGTCATATCATATCCTAACATCTTGATATACTACCCAATAACATTCTTTTTTCCAAAGAATAAGATCTGTCACTGGCAGCATTCAGCCTTCTCAATAACTAAATAGCTGAAAACAATAGAATTAAGTTTTTGTTATCTAACTTATTTAAGTCAGTTGGTTATGCTGAGATTTAAATAGTAAAGATAGAATTCATTCAAATTGAATTTTACCATTAGCATAGTTATTAGTCTTAAGCTAATTTCAATGAATATGTTTGTCTGCGATGAATCAATTTATGAGAAAATGACCGTTAAATATACACTTAGAATTTTTCATACAACCAATCTTGCGTGTATAGATGAAGGTATGTTTTCTTCAATTATGAATGCGCTAGTTTTTTTTGAATAAAAACGTTTCAGAATTTCTAGAAGATAATGAAAGGCGAAGAGATCTATGAATTAATACACAATAAGATTTTACTGAATATGTTCTTATTTTAGAAAGATCCTTTCGTATCGTGACTCATGCAAAGGTGTATTGTGTCAATTAGATCATATGATCATGGGAATATTTTTTACGTATAGAAAACCTAAAGAGTTTCTTCAAGATAAGCTGCAGTAGAAGACTGAAGCGATTTCACGATATATATTCGATAAAGAAATACGCTTTTCAATAGACTGTTCTTTCCTATTAGCTGTTTCTCAAGATTTTTCTAACGTACAACTGACATGTCACTATAATGACGGAAGCAAAATATTGCCTATGGTGAGTCTAAATATAATTATGGACATAGACGTTTAAAAAATCAATAAACTATAGAAACTATTTTAAAAAAATCAATTTGCAGAGTGGATCTTATAATGTGTCGAAAACTTTAAAGTGTCTATCGGCTTGTCCGCGTAACGCGACACTTCGCTGATCAAGTTTTGAAAAAATTTTTTTCCGAGTTGGACAGATCTCAGTGGGGTACTAGATGCAGTTTTTTACGCTGATTACGAATTTGGTATTAATTTTGTATAAAAATCAGATTTTGAGATCGAAAACTGGATTTTAAAGTTTTCAAAAACTGTATTTTGGATTTTTTAACCAAGAAATTTTTTCAACAAAGGTCAAGAGACATACCATTCGATGCAGAATTAAATTCGCTACAAAATGGTCTATTTAGTTTTGACTTTGGCAGCTTAGAACAAATTGGAGAGTTCGATATAATTCCGAACTTCCTGCTCAGTTTATGAGCTCTCAGATCGATGTATCAATCTCATTTTTGCACAGGGGATTGTCTACATAGAAAACAGTAACACTTATAAAAATCAAGTCATTCTGAGTACATTAAGTGCCTCAAAATTGGTCAACAAAAAACTGTGTAACAGCGTTACGAAAAACGTAACAGCGTTACGTTTGTTTTTTGCATTTTTTATCTGAGCAAAAATGTTTTAGAGAAAATCTTTTTTACTGCCTGAAAGCCTATTCAATGCTCTACAAAAATGACTCTCGGAGCATTACATTTGAAGAAATGGTTTCGCAAGAATTTAGAGTTTTCTTGGCGGCACTGGAAAAAAAGGGTCCTTTTCTGTAACAGCGTTACGCCATGCTAAAACCTTTCTAGATGCCTGAGACTTCAGTCAAAAAAGGCCATTTTTATACGATAAATAAAGTTCGATAAGCTGCGTCGAATGACGTTTGAACGAACTTCCTAGCTCTTAAACTTTTCGAGATAGTTGAAGAAGAGTGTGTCAAAAACGTAACAGCGTTACGTTTGGACAAGCCGCTATAACTCGACATGCTAAAATCAAAAGATTAAACCAAAATAGACTCTTTTACTACTCATGATAAGTGATCGAATAGATATTTGTCTCTCAATCGATAAGTACTTATACATTTAGGAATGTTTCCTCATCAAATTCGATATTTATAAGGCAAATAAATGTTTTGATTTAATAAATAATTTAGATTTTGTAATGCGTATATGGATAACATCATCGGAGAATTGTCGTTTATTTCTTGAATATGATGTTCATCTTGATGATTCACTTATCCCTGATGAACAGGTAAGGTAAGATTTTATTTGAATATATTCAATTAGAATAAATATTTATCTTTATTATTTTTGTTTGTTTTCTTTCAAGAAAGATGATTCACAAAGAAGTAATAATAGTCTTTGGCTTGAAATGTTTGGTTATCAATTTACTCATAATGAATCACTATTAGATAATCAAACAGATGTTCAATTAAACGAGACTGGATCAACCATTATTGATAAAAAATCTAAGCGTATTAATTTAGTAAAGTCATATAATAAATTGAGTATTTTAAGGTTCGTTTTTATACTAGGTTCAAAAAATATACATATATACTATGGGCAGTCAAAAAGTTCGGAGAATTTTCAACAATGACCGTGCCGAATTTGGTGACCAACTCAGAACTAATAAACCAAACATACCATGTTGTAGAGCAAGTCGAGGTGCGTCGAATGGTATATAATAAATCTTCTTTTCAAAAAATTTTGAGAAAACCAGATTAGATTTACTGGTGGGCAGCCATGCATTCAAAGACTCATCGACAAGCATTACCCGTGAAAAACTATAGTGGGTCATCGAAAAGTCGCATTTTTCTTTATCAAAAGTAGAATAATTGGAGCTAGTAAGTATATAACCTTGTAGCCCGTGAAAAACTCTACAAAACTGTATATAGGAAAGTTATTTTACAAATACTTTCAACTGATGCCAAGGCCCAAAATGGTCAGTACTTTGAATGCATGACCACCTATCGATAAATCCAGTCTGGTTCCCTCAGAATTTTTGAAAACAAGATTTATTATATACCATTCGACGCGCCTCGACTTACTCTACAACATGGTAAGTTTGGTTTATTAATTCTGAGTAGGTCACCAAATCCGACACGGTCCTCTTTGAAAATTCTCAGAACTTTTTGACTGCCCATAGTATATTCGCATCAATTTTAAAAATTTAGAATGATTAATGTGATTGATGCTATACGTGCTGAAAATCGATCATCAGCACAATGTCTTGAACGTTTACAAACATTCGTTGATGCACATGAAGATTATTTATCGAAAGTAAGAAAAGATATACTGCATCAAATTTTGTTTTCTGTTATACATTGGAAAAAAGAACGGTCATGGTTGTTTTTTGAATAAATTTTGATAGCAACAACTAAGATTTCTAAGATTTTCATCATTCACGATAGAATACTCGGGCAATCGAAGTAAGTCGCTATCTAATTGACGAACAATTGACTCATCAGGTAAGATATAAGTGAAGGTTTTTGAAAATGTAATTCGGAAATCATTGTTCATGAAAACGCGAAGTTTAATACTATCGAATGGTATATAACTCTTCTCTTTCGATCTAGATAAATATTAACTTTGCTGCCGCTTCCATTCAACAGTCACAAGGATTTTCTAAGACTCCCGATTTCAACATATTGACTTTGGAAGGCTTCCAACAGGAGTAACTCACAACGCTAACTCGAATGATGGAGCATAAAAATTGGAATTTCAAAAATATTTTCAAATAAGGATTTCAGACTACGTTGCAACTGAAAATAAACATCATCATTCGACTCAACTTTAAGAATTACTCTTATCAGAAGTCTTTCAAGGTCAATACGCTGATACAGAAGGTGTCATGAAATTATTTTAGCTCTTGAACGGAAGCAGCTACGGAGTTGGAATTTTGTGTAGATCGACAGAGAAGATTTTTCTCTACCAGTTGGCTGTATTAAATATCACGATTTAACGTAGAATGACTTCAAAATTACGTTTTCAAAACCTTCACTAAGAACTCATCTGATTGGTCGATTGTTGACTAATCAAATTTCGATGACCTGAATACTCCAGCTGTTTTTGTCGTTACTATTAAAACATGTTCAAAAAACAACTATCGACATTTTTTTTTGAAACGGATAATAGATGTTTATTAATAGATTAAAGAACGCGAATCCCGTCATTTACGTGTTGAAAATTTAAGACAATATTTACAATCTCAAACATTGCTCTATGAACAGCGTTTCAATGCTAATCAACAAAAACAAAAAATAATACAAGAACGAAGTAAAGCATTGCTTTACATAATATAAAAAAAAAATAAAATATAATCTTTTGTTTTTCTTGAAGAAAATCAATTGGAACAGAATTTATTACAATTGCTTCGTAAACAAGAAGAACTTAATTCATATATAAATCATTTGAATCAATCAAAGTATGAAAAATAATTTAAATGTTTGTTAATTCTTTTTGAATATTTTGTTTTCCTCTGAAAGATGTCTTCTACATGATTTGATACAATTGATTACTTATCGACAAAAAGATATTATTAATGAAATATATCGTTATGTTTATCCAATTGTTAATGATAAGAATGATGAATATTCCATAGGAAATATTAAATTACCACATGCTGAAGATAAAATTTATCAAACATCATTCAGTTAGTTGTTCTTTTTTTTTGTCATATAAAATAATTTATTTATTAAAAAAATATGTTAATAATTTAAGCTCGTGAACGTGAAAATGAAATTGAAGCAGCTGTAGGATATTGTGCACATTTTGTTTTTATTATTTCACAATTCATTCAATTACCACTTCGATTTCCGATTGAATTTTATGGTACATCACCGATTAAAATCTACGATAATGCATTACAATCCAGCGAGTAAGTTTAATAGAATTTCTTCGATGAACTAAAATAAATGATAATGTTGTTTATTATTTTCGGGAACCTCTATTTTATAATGTTATAAGTCCATTGAAACGCTCAATAAACTTTCTCGTGGTATTTTAAAGTTTTCTATGAGATATTTCTTGCAGAAAAATTCTTATATACTCTCTCCTGAATGCAGTATACATGAAGTTAATGCATAGTTTTCAGGAGCTATATTTATTTGAAAACCAGATTAATATCTGCTTATCTAATATCTTACAAAACCTAGAATTTTTCTCTTGTTCAATTCTAATTTTGATCCATCTGGAGAAAAATATCAGTTATTTTCTTGGTACCATTGATGAAATTACAAATAGCAGTAGATTCATATAACACAATATCATCTTGAAAAAAATATTACAAATTTGAATGATTATGATTCTTTTCTTTCGTAGTTTTCCATTGTATCCAAGTTATGATACTAATTCTTTCCAGTATGGTCTTTTTTTGCTGAATCGAGATATTGGTCAAGTATGTTATTCTTTTCAAAATATTTGAATATAAGAGAAAGTCATTTCATTTTCTAGATAATGTATCATTGTCATGTAGGTGGTCGTCATACAGATTATCGAAAAACATTAAAAAATTTAAAAGAATTATTGGAACAATATTTCATCAATACTAATAATTATAATCAGTAAGTAATTTGTATGAGTATTTTAAAACTTACATTCAATATAAATTCATTGATTAATACAGTCGTCGAAATGGTTCAAAGTTTTTTTGTAAGTTTATCTGACTGTAATGTGATAAGAAGTTTTATTCTCTTTATCTTCTTTGTCTTTGCTTAACACTACTCTTTGGTAAATAGACAAATGAATATACTAATTCTTTCTTATTTTCTTGTTTTATGTATTTTAAATTGTTTTTTTTTGTTTTTACCATTCAGAATTCAACTTTACGCTTCAAATCAACAATTAATCGAAACGATTACCCCATCTAATAGTTATGCTACGGAGCGACGTTTGACACCAAATAAACAGAATTCAATTGATAATTCTTTATTTTCTTTATCGCTTTCAACAGCATCATCATCTCTTATTGATTTAGATCAAAATGATGATGTTAGTAATAATGTAGATTTATTTCCAACATTAAATATAATATCACCTCGATTAACCATGCAATTTTCACATCAACAATAATGGCAAAGACAAAATGATATTTAAAAAACAAAAAAAAAACAAAGAAAAATTATTTGATAAGTTGTGATATACATAGATTAAATTTATTCCGTGTGAGCAAATAATACTGTGATTATATTCTTGTTCGCACTGTTATTGTTGTTGTTTCTCTAGTTTTTTCATATTATTTATGTTATAATTTGAATTTTGACAGAAAGGAAAACAATAACAAAAACAAAAAGAGATAATGTAATTTTTTTTTCATATATGTTTGTTTAAGATTTTTATTCAAAAACCAAAACAAACATCTTATCAACCAAAATGAGTCTTGATACACAAAAACTTGATACTAATCAACGTCAACAGATCATGGCTTCAGTACAACAACAATTAGCTATTCAAAATGCTCAAGAACTTCTTCAAGTAATATTGAATTAGAAATTGTTTATTTATATAATTTTTTTTTTTATAATTTAAGAAATTATCTGATAAATGTTTTAAAGCTTGTGTTCAAAAACCCGGTAGTACTTTATCTAGTTCTGAACAAGTATTTAACATCTCATGCGTTTTGTTTTCTTATTTATTTTCATGATATTATTTATAGAAATGTATTAGTCAATGTTCTGATCGATATATGGAGGCATGGAATATTGTTTCGCGAGCATATGCTGAACGAATTAAACGTGAAACTAATCGTCATTGATTTTTCAAAAATTTTTGTTATTTTAGGAGATTTTAATAAACATCCTCCTCCTGTGTTTTCTTCTTATGTATTTGTGTCTTCATTTAGTTTATAAATGAAGACAAGTAGTAGAATGTTTTCATCCATAGGAGTTTTTTTTTCTCTGTTTGATTCTAGATGGCATCTTCATCTTATACTGGAAATGGTAATGGCTATACAAAACGTTCTCGTCGTAGTGAGCCAACCATTATCCAAGTAAAAGAAGAAACGATTGAAATGGATAATAATAATGGTCCATTTCAATCACCTTATGAGCAATTGCTTCAACAGGAAACTGTTCCAATTCCTGTTGTTGTTCCACCAAAAAAACCTAAAGAACAAAAATGTCGTTGGGATCGTTGCACACATACAGGTGATATTAATGGATCTTTATTTGAACATCTTCTTGAACATGTTAATGCTCAAAAAAATAGCAAAAAAGAACAAATGTGTCTTTGGGTTGGATGTCGAGTTTATAAAGTAGCATCAAGAAGTGTTAATTATTTAGAAAAACATATTCATAAACATACAAATGAAAAACCATTTCGATGTGTTTTTGATAATTGTACGGAACAATTTACCACACAATTTGCACTTGAAAGACATGTTCAAACACATTTACGACAACAAGATGCTTCAATGCTCTTTGACGCTAGTGGTGAAACATCAATGATTGGAACAACTGATTTTGATGTATTAAATGGTGATGAAAATCATCGTTCATATCTACGTGGTGGAAGTATGAATGGTACATATCAAAATATGCTTCTTCAACAAGTTCAACATCAATCAAATGAGAAGAAAGCTAATCGAAAACGTCGAGCTAAAATTAATGGAGTACCTGTTGCTTACGGTAATTCATATAATGGATGTTCCATAAAGAATTATACTGATAGTATTTTTAAATTTTATCTTGTTTATTGAAACATTGTCTTTTTATCAAAAGATAGCACTTGAAATTTTGCATAAGATGATAGAATTTATTAAATGAATATAGTTTTCTTCATGATTTTGGATTCAACACAATCGTAGTGTATGACATCAAGTACACAATGTAAATTTTTTTCGTTTTGAATTTTTTGATAGACTATTTTATATCGTCTATCAATGTTACCATTATTGTTATGTGGTCCTAATCCATAGCTTTCATCTGTTTATTCCATAAATTGTACTATAGTGGACATAAAACAAGTGAACTTAGTGACCTGTGATTCTTTGGGACAAATATAGAAAAATCTCAGCAAATCATTTTTGGCTAAGTTAATGTGTGTAAGGTTTTGCACCATTTTGTTGATATGTTTGTTCAGTTGTGTCCTAACATTTCGTTTTTAGGTTTTACAGCTACTGAAAGAACATCATTGACGTATCTTTCTGCATTCATTGTTTCATCTGTCAAAATCATTAGCACTGTCAGCTGTTGTCAGTACACACACCTAATCATGCCATCACATTTATTGCGAATTCTTTTTTTACATGAACAGCATCGTTTTTGTCAGCTTCTTCTTCTTTCTTCATAGCTCACATCCCGTTATTCTACGTAGAGTAATTACTATCCATTTCAAAATATAATGTACTCCACTGTTTTTCTGAATAACTTTTGATAAGAATATTCTAAAGACCTGCGATTTTCACCATTCAAGAGAGAAGATTTTGAACTATCGAAGTATAGCGAAATTTGCTTTGTCAACCATTGATAAATGAGGTAAGGTCTTGGTGAAAATTTTCGAAAGCTATTTTCTGAAGCTATTTACCTTTTATTTTACGCAAAATCGGCATTCTTAGCTTTTTCCTTTCGAGAAGTGTAAGACTTTTTCTGAGATTCTCCTCCCCCATCGATTTAAGCCAATTAACTTGTGATCACCTGAAAAAAGCCGCTAGACAGGGTTAATTCATCATGTCGAGTTCGATGATGATATTTGTTTCTTTAGGCTCAAACTTGTCTAACATTCTTATCTTAATATTTCTCAAATTCTATAATCAACTGGCATATAATGAACTAGTCGATATTTCAAAAATATAGAGATAATAGTGTCAGATCAGTTCGAATCAAAAAGTAAATATCACCATTCAACTCAGCATGATGAATTACTCTTGCACAGCTATTTTTTCAAGTAATCGTAGTTCAATGACCTGAAAGCGAACGATTCCAAGCAAAGCCTTCTAATTCTCGAATGGAACCATCTTTGAATGTCGTCTTTTGTATAGATCCATAGAGAAGAATTTTTCTATCGAAGAGTCCTATTAAATGTCTAAATTGAACGGGAAATAGTTTCAGAGTATTGTTTTCAAAAATCTTTACCAGGGCTTAGCTGACTGATCAATTGTTGATCTACTCAATTTCGATATACGTTGATTACTTCAGGTTTTCTCTTTGAAGTGTTGAAAATCGAACATCTCTGATATGTTCCAAATCAAGAATCATGCAAAACATAACGGATCACATTATATAGTGAGATTTATAGTACCTTATTGAATGAACTAGTTGAAGTCATGAATTGGAACCAAATGACAACAATGGCAAAATTGATAGCCGACATGAAACACTGTTAATAAATTTGCAAAAGAATGAAATTTTATATTCTATACTTCATTTTATACTGTATGATAACATGAAATCCCCAAAAAAAATGAAGGAAACTATCTTCGTTATATTCGTTACAGTGGCGTAGTCAGGGGTAGGGCCATTGAGCAATTACCCATAGCTCCAAAAGTTATTGCCCATGGATTTATTGAGCTATGCAGTGCTTGAACAGTTATTGCCCATAGATATTTTTGAAATCATAACGGTTGTCCTTAGCTACTCGTAACTCAAAATAGTTCGGCTGATGAATTGCCCACGACTCCAAAATTTCTGGCTACGCCACTGATTCGTTATATCCTTTTATGCCAAATTTCAAGTTCTATCTTTTGATAAAGGTAATGTGTTTCGTACATGGAAGTAATAAAGAAAAAAATTCAAAAATACCAACAGTATAATTCTGTATAGACCATTCGCTAATTGATTGTATAATGTATTTATATTTCTGTTTTTCTTTAGCTGCAAATCGAGACTGTTTTACTGAAAGTGAAATCTTTCATTTGACACGTCTCTTCGACACATGTCCCTATTTTTCGACCGATAAATCTGGCACAGTAGTTGTTTTACAACCAAAAGTAATTTTTCTCTTTAAATATATTCTGATTAAATTATCTATATGACTATTGCTTTAAAGATTACTATGAAACGACATATTGGTGATCGAACTGAACAATATGTTGAATGGACACCTGAAGATATGTAAGTGTTAGCAATACAGACAGCCTACTCATATTCTTTGGGATGATTTCTTTTTTTTCTTTAGTTATCCAGGAGAATGGATCAAAGGTTCAGACATTAAATTAAAGCCAAAACATGTACCCATCAGTGAACTGAGTGCTACACAACTCAATCGACTATTACCACCAATATATGCTTATCGTCCACGTATTCGAGGACAACGGAAGCGTTCTGTAATCTCAGCGCTACAAAGCAAATAATTGATCATTCTCTTTCACTCTAATATATATATATATATATTTATACTCGAAACTCAGGGCTGATATACAACGAATATAGATATATTTCTTTTCGTTCTTTCTTCATGTTATCGTTTTTTTGTATTGTTATGGATTGTAGAGTAGTAGTTTGATGATGAGAACAAACAAATTTCTCTCCCTTTCTCTTCTTTTTTTTTTTTTGTTCTTCGGAAAATGATATGTAATTTGTACTTGTAGATTTGACAGAAAAAACTCTACAATGCGAAAGAAAAAAAAATAAATAAAAATTTGTCAAAGTATTTAGAAATGAAACCAAAAAAATAAAGTAAAAGATTCAATATTTTGATATAATTAATGAAATAATATATTGTTATAGTTTTCTTTTTACATATTACAATTTATCAAAAAACACCATGTGAATATTTTGAAATTCATTATTTTTAATTTTAACTGTACATCTGAAATTAGATAGAATAGATGATGAAAACCATAACTACAACTTTTCAAAGATGAATCGTTCACAATCACGTCAAACATGATTTTGTCAAGGAGTGGCGAATGTCAATTGTTCAAAATTTCTACAAATCGGATAAAATCTTACAACTTAGAATTAATATAACTGTAGTCATCTGTTGTTTTAAATCCTATCATTCCGATAATAGCTAAGAAGTCAAAAATTCATTGTCTTGAAAGTAATCGTATGAGTACGTCATCGGATAGAACGAATAGCAGCTGTCATCGTAACCGATAAAATACTAACATCGGCGACATAACATTTATTGCTTTTCATCTCTTACATCTGCTTTTCTGGTGACGATTTCTAATTATGCATATAAGTAAATCACTGATTTCTGCTTTTCTGTTGTTTGTCATAAGTTATTTTTGTCAAAAATCAGCATCCAAATATATATTGAAAGTTAGTAACAATCGGAGATTTGTCATAATCTCGATTTAATCGAGTGCCATTTATGTTAGAATGGCATCAATCAAAACAAAACTAATTTCATTATTAATGGTTATCTCAAGTGTAATCAATTGTTATATGGACAAGAAGAATTAGATTCATGTTTCTTTGACTGTGATATAGTATGTCAAAACATAAATTTATATAATTATCAAGTTACATTGATCTCTGATACATATTTGAACAACTGAAGATCGGAACTTTCGATTCGAACTTAAATTTACCTCATTACTCTTTATAAAAATCTGTGTTGGTATAAATAATTGATGCATGGGAAATGCTCAACAAAATGACATAGTATTAAGTATTATGAATTTTGATTATGTTATAGTTATTACGCTCAATTACGTACTATGCAGTGCATCAGCTATTTATAGAAATATAGCTGCTTATGGAGTTTAGTGGAAGAACCTGATACCAATTGTGCAGTAGAAAGTTAGGCCAAGATCAAAACTCTTTCTCCTTTTTATATCACTTTGGATTCGAACCGATATTCTTGCAAATCTCATTTTTAGTGTGCACTCATATAATGATCATCTCTAGATACATGAATTTGTCAAGATTTAGCTTAATAAATAAGTCAAAATATAATCCTTACTATCTTAAAAATTCAAATACGAGAGCCCTATCGAATTGGAATTCTCTGGTTCGAGTAGACGATAGTTTCAAACTTCATTCTCGGACGATTAAAAGTGTGATATAACAGTTGACATTGGTTTAAAATTAATACTGTCTAATATATTTGTGGATGAAAATAAAACTTTTTATATTAATACATAAGTATCACAACTTTTTTAAGTTTAATACAAAATATCATACGGTTACGAATCGCAATACAGAAAAATGCAGAAATTTAGAAAAGAAAGAAAAAATAATTATGACCTGGATATGATCCATCGTCATAAACATAGTTAATGTAAGTGCTATGAACAGAAGAAAGGCTGTGATTAAATTAAATTTATCACACGATCAGTCAACATTCGTTTCGTCATCATTGATCGCGTTATATGTTTACAACATTGATTATAGGTCAATCATTTCGTTTTCATCTAAAGTTTGATTGTGTTCGACTATCATTTTAAAAATTATTCCGAATTCGGTCTCTGTGACGTTTAGAAAAACAACAAAAAACCTACTTAATGCTGTATTTAGGATTGTCCATAAGACAATACCGTCAACTTATCAATAGAATATCAGTTGTCAATTATGTTTGAATTAGTAATTGTTATTTATTATTAGCATTATCATGTTTACGTCTAGCTCCGCATAGTATAAAAGAGTTGGTATGAAATCAATATAATTTTTCTATGAAAAAATATGTATTGAATTGTAAAAATTAACAACAATTATTTCTTGAATTCAACAGAAACAACAATACAGAACTTGAACGTTTCTGCAATAAACTTTTTTTTCTCTTAATTTTCTATCATTTTAATTTAGATATTTTACTTGAAATGTCATTTTAGACATACCACAGATTGGAAAAGTCTTTTTACAAAAAAAAATAAATAAATTAGACTAATGCGTTACGTATTTTGCTTTTTACTCAGTTATAAAATAAGATCATTTATAGAAAATATATTTTGTCATACAGCTGATGATGAGATTAGTATACCCAACTACTGCTATTAGCATTTCATTCGGAAAATGTATCGAACATCCTCATTTGACACCTTTCAGAAGAACAAGACAATCAATTAGTTAAATATTCTTTTATTCATTTACTGGAAGAAGGACGTATTATTAAAGGTCAAATTATGAAATATATATAGTACCAATCGACATTTAGAAAGAGCCAATAGTTATATCTTCCGTTTCTAGTACTCATATATCCATATGGTGCTTCTCAATCGATAGAACTGTCTAAAGCCTACTACCAATATTCATAGCTAATAATGTTGATCATTCTTAATTATGTTCTCTGTTGAGAATTTCATGTTTCATCGAACCAGATATTAATGATTAATATCCACATCAATGCAATCTTGTTACTAAATTAGACAAAATTTCTTCTTCGATTTAACTAATTATAGCAACCTTATCGACAAAATCAACATTATTAGAATAGTATTGATGGATATAAACAATTACAAAAACAAGACTTTCTTATCGATAAAAAATACATGGTGCTTTATGGTAACAATTATGAAAGGCCATTGTAAATGTAGCATATAAAGGAATGAAGAAAGCGCGGAAGAGTGTATATAGAAAAGACTAAAAGCATTTATTTTGTTGAAAGCCAACTACGTCATAATGACTTGCAGTTGTTACTTATTTTTCATTCATTTATCAAAAGAATTTCATAGGCAATATTTTTTATTCAACTCATTAGTACATAATAAATTTATCTGTTTAGTAACATAATCAATGACTTTATTATAAAAGAAAGTTATAAATGTCATCGTACAAACGCACTCTGCTCATCGTTTTCTTTTATATGATAATGAGAAGTCGAAATATTTATTTATAAAATCATAAGGTAATAAATTTAATTTCTTTCTAGATCATTCTGCTATGGAAATTGTTGAATATTTTTCAGAAAAAATTCTTTTTCGAATAATTCGTAAGTTCGTTCATTTATCAGTGTTTTATATATCAATCGTAATATAATACTTATAGTAAATCTATGTAGAATGGCCTGATTTGAACAAAAACCATTCCATAATTGACAACGATCAATATGACATAGCTCTATATTAGACAAAAAATGTTGACTGGAGAGACCATCAGAAAGAAAAATGGATATATTAAGCACATATATCATCCAGGGTATCATCAGTCATACGAGCCAATGATTGAAATAGCACACGGGATGTGCGAATTCCATTCGGATCGGTTAAACCTTCTGCATTGAAATCTCTAAAGAATTAGTATTTTTAGTAAATAAAATATTCTCTGAGCTTAATATTATTTTATTGCTATTCTTATGCACTTGCATCAACACAACTTTTGAAATAAATTAAAACAGGGATATATCATTCACACGAATGTAGAATGTGCATATTGAACTTAAATCTCTGTTAATTTAGAAATGTTTTTCAGAAAAAAATAAACAATTAATACTTTGAATTTAATTAATATTAATAATATTTTCATCTTATACTTCTATTTTTTTTAAGGATGAAGTCTTGCATAGATCTAATCCCGAGTACGAATTAATCAAAAAGTAATCTAACAGAAAAAGACATCTCTGAAGACATAAATAAGACTAATTCAACAACGTCATTTATTGGTGATGTCATGTGTACAACAAAAGACTGAATAAGTGCTAAGTAGATATAGTTAGATATAATTTGAATAACAATACATATCATGTTAGAATTGGTAACATAAACGAGATACGTTTGTATTCTTACGTATTAGCATCAAATAAGACTTTACATGCAAACCTGATTATATGCAATTTCCTCAGTAGTCTTGCTTGTTTGTTTTTTTTTGTCAAAACTACTGTGATTCATTCTATATTTATCGAATAATTCTAGTTTTCTAAATCGTTGATATCCTGTTAAAAGAAGTGCTGATTATAAAAAATGTTATATTATTTGCTGAAACTGAAATAGATAAGAACAGTTTCGAACAATCAGGAAATCACCATCTAGTAAGATATATAATTATATGTTAACATGTTCAATTAGATGATCACCGCGAAAACTAATGAATGACAAACACCAGATACTTTGTTTCTTTCTTCATTGAGACAAAATATGAGCATTTCATAAAATACTATGTCAATATTTCTTTGCATAGTTATTTCAAAAGAACAAGTTGATAGCAAAGAACAGAGACGGAAATAACACCTTTTCCTTTCACTTAATTGAATTCCCCAAACTGGTTTTCTGCTATGCATAAAAAGTATTCATGCACGTGCACGCAATAAGTCATTTTTTTTCTCTTTCTTTTCATCGACATCAGCAGACATGTAATAAACCGGTTTTTTTCTTTCACAATAACGAGCAAATAACTATTACTCTATAGTTACATTATTCTATTGCAAATGCAACCAAAAATAGTATAATCCCAAAATTCTTGATCATACTGTAAGCTATGACGATATAATAACAGGTGGCTTCTTCATATAGTAAAAAAAGTCGTATGTAGGCGTATACCATCATCCAATTATTGCTCTTTATGGGAAGCAAGAAAAATAAAGGACATCGAGCAGTTATATAGCTTTTATTATCATTCCAACAACGGTTTCTTCATTGCACGCATATTCCATACATAATATTTTTGTAAGTCGTTGCTGGTATAGCTATTCATTGTTCTCTTTGTCTAAATAGGAAGACAATAAAGAATCATCTTTATAGAAGATGTATTTTCCTTGTTTTTTTTCATCTATAAATGTATAATAGAACAATAAGAAAATCTATTAAATCAGACAAAGTAGATCGAATATTCTCGATAATAATAATGCTAGATGTTGCGTCTTGAAAATGTTGATGGAATATGTCATCTTTCATCACTTAACATGTGTGATAACTTGGTAATTAAACACATAAATGTTAAAACAAAAAGAAACATTCCAATACTTTCATCCTATCTATAAATTACCATTTATTGTGTTAACATTTCTATTCCAATAGAAAGTGTATAAGTGAACCGAATATTTTCTTGCAAGAGTGTCAGCTTAGCATTAGCATTACATTAACTTGGCACTAACTGCAATGATTTTCTAATAAGATCTTACTATAAATGCATTGAAATTATTCAAGGATATAGATTCACTCTCTAGCATCTTTACTGAGGCGCACTGAAACCAGTCTTATGCTAAGTCGATATCCGTAGGTTACTTTCAATGTTAGTCAGTAAATATTTGTCAAAGATTAATGTTTAACTTTATTGACATAAAGACAAAATGACATAGAGCAAACAAAGAATAAAAAAGCGAAGTATTTTTACCGGAAAAAGTTGGCTTACAGCAAGAATATAAATATTTTTGCTTTCTTTCTAGACAAATATTATACAACTACTTACCATAAATGGATACTATTTCATCGAGTCAAAGACGTTGCAATTTTTCAACATTCATGAAAGATCTTTTCTTCGGTTTTGTAACTGAATATGAAACACCAAAAATAGTTACAATACATAGTTATACAATTACGACATTACTTCGTATTATGCAAATTCTTCTTTTACTCTATTCAATACTCTATTTGTTTATTCATGAAAAAGGTTATCAGAAACAAGATTCATCCATTATTTCATCAGTCACACTTAAGGTGAAAGGTATTGGTTATATCCATACAAAAAACAATGAAACATTTATTATTGATGGAACAGGTATGTTTTTTAAAGTAATTCTTGTTTGAATTTTTGAGAGAAATAATAAAATTTTATCTTTTTTTTTAATTTAAAAGATTATATTGTACCACCATCAGAAAATAATGCTATATTTATAATGACAAATTTCATTCAAACTGATCAAGTTCGATCTAAATGTGTTGAAAGTATATCAGTTCCAGAAGCAAATTGTACACGAGATATTGATTGTCAAAATAAACCTTATATGCCAAATATCAATGGTCGGTGGACAGGTCGTTGTTTATTTTCATCACCATTAGATATTTCTAATGAAACAAATAATATTACAAATCAAACGACAGGTTTATGTGAAATTCAAGGTAAAAAAATAAATATATTTAAATAAAATATCATTATCTTATTTCATTTGTCTTTGTTTTAATAAATCATCGACATAGTTTTACATTATAATTTCCGAGAATTAAATAATCAAAATTGAAATTATAGACTATACATTATTATTTCTATGTGTTCTGCATAATTCACTGTGGAAATAACATCCCAGAAGTAAAGACCGATTAATAACAGTTTTGATTTATTGCTAAATATTATTTGTCATGCAATGAATTTGATTAAATATTGATTCAGATCATATTTGTTAATATACAGAGAAAAAAATTTCTGATCGATATATATCATTTATAGATAAATGAAACAAAAAGAACCTAATTGAAATTATTGTTCAAGTGAGTAAATGACAGTATTTGAATATCCTACAGTTAGTACTATAATAAAAATAGATATGGCAGTTGTTAGCAATAAAAAAAAGTAGACGTATGATATTCTTTGATTTTTCCTTATGATCAAAATTTACATAAATAAAATTCTTATTAAACATCTTTAATATCTTAGGTTGGTGTCCTGTCGAAGATGATCTTCAAGAAAAAACATCTATTAAAGAAGTTCTTAATTTTACAATATTTATAAAAAATTTTGTTGAATTTCCTGCATTTAATATTAAACATAAAAATATGGTTGAAAATTTAAAACAATGTATATATCATCCAATTAATAATAAAGATTGTCCAATATTTCGTCTTGATTATATAATCAATGAATCTGAAAAAAATGTTACTGAACGTGAATTAATGTTACATTCAGGTGCTGTTATACGTGTTAAAATTGATTGGGATTGTAATTTAGATCGTAGTATAAAATTATGTAAACCACTTTATTCATTTGCACGTCTTGATACACCATTTGCTGAAGAAACATTTTCAGTTGGTTTTAATTTTCGTTTTGCATCACATTGGAAACATCATAAAAGATATTTACGTTCATTAACAAAAGCTTATGGCCTTCGTTTAATTATTTGTGTTAGTGGTAAAGCTGGAAAATTTGATTTTATTACATTAACATTAAATACAGGTTCGATAGTTGGCATATTTGGTTTAGCAACATTTATTTGTGATATAATTCTTCTTAATCTAACAAAAAAAGCCTCTATCTATAGAGATTTTGTTTTCCAACGTGTTAATATTCAACGTACGCGTAATAATAGTGTTTCTCAAAGAGTTCAAGATCATGATGAACCTATGGGATCTATATATGAAAATTTTAATACTGATGAACAAACATTTTCGTCACCTATTTGGATAGCCGAACCTTTCGTAAGATTTACAGATAAAACATGTACAATAACATCTTCACCTACTCTTATTAATTCAAATCAACTATTAAGATTACAACCAAGTTTAGGTCTTACTAATATAATGAAGTAAAAACAAAGTTATTCGTATTATTATTATAATTGATTGTCTATAGTTTTTTTTATTCTGTATTTTTTTAAAAACCTTTTTGTGATAACAAAAGTAGCAAATATAAATATATTTGAGAGATGCTGGAATTAAATTAAACTATATTTTTATTTTTTTCGGTTTCTATCGACTTAAGCCATCAATATATAATTAAACATACATGTGTTTTTCCAGTCCTTGCTTTTTGATTTTATTCAGAAAAATATTGTGCAACAAATGCATTTCGTACTTTTATCCATTCGTCATCTGTCATTCCTGCATAGACATCATAGAATTGATGAGCGAATAATTTTTGTGCTGGTAAAGCTGGTTGTTGATTGATAGCTGATATAGACGATGGAGCTTGTACTAAAGATAAATCAGTCATCGATATATGTTCTGGTGATCTTTCATAATTGTCAGAATCATTTTCGTTGTCATCATCTTCAAATCGAACAGTTGATGGACGTTGAATTTTTTGTGTTTGTGAATCTAGAAACGAAATATTCTTGAGTTTGGTTTTGAAAATATAATAATGTCTTTCTCAATGTTTTGTCTAGATTTACTCTTTTCACATAGACGATTTACAACTTCGGCAGAACGAACATCTATTTTTGAGAGTATAGATACATATTGCATAATAAAATAACTACAAAATCACGGAAGGCTAATTTTATCTTCGAAGGGGTATCGATCTTTTGATTCCTATGTTGGATGAAATACTGGTTTTTCTTTTTAAAATAAATAATAATATAGTCTTACTCTTCCTTTTACGTAAACGCAATTGTTGAGAAGCAATTTGTTCTTGTCTTTTCCTTCGTTGTTCTGCTAAACATGCAAGTCTTTCTTGACGTTGATGATTTGCTTCTTCAATAGCTTGATCATTTTTACTGATTTGTCGACTCATCGCAAGTTTACTTTCACGTTCTCGAATCATTGATTTTTCATTTCTTCTTTTCCAATTAAATTGTATAATCGTTCGACGACTTTGTTTTTGATTAAAAATCACAGAAAAACTTTCAGCGGTTTGTCCAAATGCATCTCGAATGTCAAGTCGGGCACCATGATGCAATAGCAATTCCATTACTCGTAATGAGCCACGAGCAGTTGCTACCATTAATGGTGTACGTCCTGCTGCTGTCTGATAGTTGATACCAATATCTGTCAGAATAAAATGAAATATTATTATTTTCATTTTCCCATGTAGTAATCTTATATCAATTAACCTTTAGTAATACTTTACTTACTGCGTTCACATAAATGACGTACAATATTAAGCCTTTCGCGATGTGCAGCTGTAAACATAGCAACACTGCCTCGTTCTAATATATATGCTTGTTTATCTGATGGAGATAGACGATCAGCAATGGCTGATGAGAAGGGCACATCTGGCAGAACACCAAGTTCAAACAACTGTAATATATTAAAGAACATTATAGAATTATTAAAATTCATAATTCTAAAAGAATAGCTATGGTTGTTAAAAAATCGTTTTACATTATATTTAAAAAGGATTTCTTGTGTTTGAATAAAATCAAACATTTTTCTCTTTCGCTAACATTCTATTCTCTTGAAATGAATGTATAATTATTCGAACAAAATCATCATAAGTGATGGAAGACTATATTATTTCTTGTAGGACACCTACATAAAAGCAGGTGATGAGTAGAACAGTATTTCAAAAACTCCACACAAAAGTCGAGCGTATTTGACTAGTAAATAAAAGGAAACATGACTGTGAGTACGAAATATATTTTAAAAAAATAAGAAAAATTTTAATTTAAACAATGAAAAATGTACTCCTGTTATATTCTTAATAACTAACTTATTGAAGATGAATTTATCTAGTTCAGAATTTGAATGGCAATCATATAGAATAATCTGGAACTTATTCAAGCTCATCCTCTTCCTCTTCTTTAAATTCAATCTTGCGTCAATGGTTTGTTTTTTATTTATCATTTCAATTTTTTTTCCAAAATTTTCTATTATTTTGTTCTCGAAAAATATGTTCTTTTAAGAATAAGTGGAAAATCTTCTTTTTATTTTTCTCTGTTTATTTTTTTTTCGTTCGTGTATCCCAGAGTTCTTGAAGGAACTTCATTGTAAGCAATCATTTTTTGACAATTTTTCCAGACATTGAATTATTTCATCCTCATTTTTCTCTGACAAAGTAGGAGTCTTTTAAAAAAGGTTGTTGCCATGGCCTTCATCCAGACATGCTCTTTGAAATAAAATAAAAATCAAGTCTATAGAATAAGGGCCTAAAGAGAACTAGAGGTTAACAAATGAGTTATTTTTGACCCTTGTTCGTTGAATATCTTCTGAAAAGTTCATAGTATAGCGAGGAAGATGTTATCATGGCCGCTTCACTACAGACCCAGAATATCCTGAAAATTTCATGCCATTTAAATGCTCCTAGGCCATAATCAATTTTCGATAGAAAGGATCGTAGCAAATTATTAGTAAAAAATGAGCTACCTTAGCTTCATTATTAGCTACAACAGCTTGTACAATTGGTTCATAGATAAACCAGACATCAAGTTCAAATGTACAGTTTGGAACAGGATCATAATATTTAAGTTTTTGTGAATCGACTAAAGTACCTTCGTCCAAATACGATAGTACTTGAAGATGTGCCGGTATACCACATATAATTTCAAGAATTGTTTTTAGTTCACGAATTTTTGTATCAAAATGAATGGTTTGTAATGTAAATCGTTCTCCTGTTGAACGTAAATGAATGTTGAGCATTCGATTGAATATTATGATTACAGGAATAAAAAGAAAAAAAGGTGACATTATTATTGCACACCGTTTGCTTGTCGTGATGGAAGCAGCAAAACAACAATATTGAATAGAGGGGGCGCTGATAATCGAGACTTTCAAAAACCTTCTTAAATAATTATTTTTCATTATGATTAGAATTAACGATTAGAGAATAATGACTGAAAGTTCGAAGAAAACAGCATCATCAATAAATGATATCGACAAGTTAATTATATCTGTCATGATGTCTTTATTGATTTGATAGTAAATTAATATTTATAGAACAGGGTTTTGTAACGAACAATAATTTCAAATCCACTACTTTAATTTAACTTTCAACAAAGCATTCGATGTGGGTCTTCGTGTGCTGCTCATACATTCTCACAATGCTTTTTTTTCTTCGTTTTATTGTTCTATCAGAATTAATTTCAACATCATTTCATGAAAATCTGTGGATCTAAAAATTTTAGTTTCGAAAAGAAATTCAAGTTGGTATGCTACATATATCAGAGAAACATATGATTCTTTGTAATAATTTGCAATCGACTAATAGCGTCTTCTGTCTTTTTTTTGCATTAGCTCAACTCATTCGTTTGAGTTAAAGCTTTTATTAGAAAATCTTTTGTTCGTTTATGATGAATATCTCAACCTTTTTCACTGTCTCATTCTATGTATATTATGTATATATATATATTGAAAACATTACCACTTAGCTATAAATATGCTTTCCTTTTATGTTGTTTTGATAGTAATAAGTATGAGAAGGGCAATTTTCTCAGTATCAATAATAGCAATGACAAAATGGTACCCAAGTGACATGGTCTTTTTCTTCTTGTCTTGAATGTATTAGGATGAGATAAGAAATGTTCTATTAGTTTGATTGTAAAAATGACTCTATTTTTCTACGGTATTCTAAAAATATAATTTGATTTATTTTTAAATTATTCATTAAGAAAATATTAAAATGATTCCATTTGATTATTCAAATAAAAATTTTTTATCAAGCAAAACACTGAAACATGTAATAATATTAAATGATTAATAAATAAATCGATTTTTTTCTCTTGAATTTGATGAGAATATAATCGTAATTTTCTTACTTTCGTAATTATGTTTCAGTGGTTTATGAGGAACGACTCAAGATAAATTCGTCCTCATTATTGTGAACAAAGTGTTTGCGTAAATATATATTTGCGAGGGTTCGTACCATTTTTATTGCATTTTTTTCTTTATTTATTTATAAAATTTTTCCTAACGTAAAAAAAACTTATGCAAAGCCATGAGCCGACGATAAAATCTAGTAAGCAGTTTAATAGTTCATTGTCTTTGTTTGAGTCTCTACACAATCACATAGAATCACAAACTTAATATCATTGTAGTCAGCATGGCCGAGTGGTCTAAGGCGCCAGACTCAAGCGTAATGCTTCCTCAGTGAGGTGGAGTGTTCTGGTCAGCGTATGCTGGCGTGGGTTCGACTCCCACTGCTGACACCATTTTTTTTCTTTTGCGCGTTCTTTTACTTGTTTTTCTCTTTTTGTTTCTACGTGTTCTTCGACGCAGACAGAACTAAAAGAAAAATCCGCCGTATGTTGTTAGATAAATAACAGTGGCTGTATTTCTTTTTTACATCATGATGTGTTTTATCTATTGAGAAGAGCATTGTATTTAAAGTTAGACTTTTTTTAGGCGTTAAATTATATTGGGACATTCATTATGGTTTTTTGTCGATCAATTCATTGTTGTTCATTTTTCTTTTATTCAAGAGAATTTTAAAAAATGCTTCTAATAGAACTGGTTTCATTATTAAATATATTATATTCTACTATGATTTTCTTGAAACAAACATATTATACATCTGTATTGAA